AACTACTTTGTTTGGCCTTCCAAAAGAGGACACAACTAGAAATCAGTGGTTATGTTGTATTTACAACACTGTTCCGGAACAGTTCAACCCAAATATTCAGATGTGTGCAGCTCATTTTATGGAGGACGAGGCCTATTCCCTGGGAGAGTATAGCCTACAATGCTTGTCTGTTTCTATAAAGTGGGGCAATTCCAACTTTGCAAGGACAGTCTGGCGCTTCTGACTCACAGCCTGTAAGTACGTTTTCATATTTAAAGAATTTGCCAATGATGATTCAAATGCGAGTTTTGAGCAGTGTAGAGTAGCGCTTGTTGTTTGTCATTTCTCAGATCACAATTGCAGACATGGTTTTAGGTTTTCGCAGTGCGATGTGGAAAATAATGTGTTTTTTTAACCTTAAACCACAAAAAACACATTGCATTACACCAAATACACAAAATAATGTTCTTTTTAGCAACGTCATATGACCCCTTTAAACCTTCAGGGTTTTACAAAAGGTCAAACATATATTGAAAAAACATGAATTTTGGAAATCTTCTCTGGTAAATATGCAGTACATGACTCAGTCAATGACTTGAGATAACAGATCAGTGTAAAGGAGATTGTGCCTTTTCGGTGGCTGTGCCATGCCTCTGGAATTGCCTCCTTCCACATATTAGATCCTGTGACTCAACTGAATGCTTTAAATAAATGTTGAAGACCCACCTCTACTCTGTTGCATTTAATTGTCCTTAGATGCATGGAGACTGGAGAGTGACGAGTTTTGTGTTTTAATGTATTTGTGTGTAGGCATTTTGTAATTTTGAGAGTGTAAAGCACTTTGGTCAACTTGTGTTGTTTTTAAATGTTTTTAAATCAATCAATCAACATTTATTTCTTGATTGGTTGGTTGGTTGGTTGATTGATTGATTGATTGATTGATTGATTGATTGATTGATTGATTGATTGATTGATTGATTGATTGATTGATTGACCAGTGTATGGCATTCAGGCCGCTGAGTCATGAGGCTTGAGTCAAATACTTAATTTTCCAGCTTCAGAATAGTATGATAGTATAGTATACAGTCAATATTGCTTGGTTAGTGTTCACAGCCCTACCAGTCAAATGCATTAGCCTACCAGTCAATTTTTTTTGCCTGCTGTCCAAATGTACCTTTTCAATATTAAGTCTGAAATGCAGTTCCCCATCAGGCAGAGATGACTAACTAGCCTCAGGAGAGGCCATAAATCTATTATAATTCAGATCAGTGCTGGGCTGCATTTGGATCTGTACTCTTATTAGGCTGGGTGTAACGAGGTGACGTGGGTTTCAGGCCCTTATTCCTAATTGACAAATCAATGTCCAGCATTGAATATGTCCTGAATGCCACTTTAATTTTCTCCACCTGGGAATCTGCAGGCACTATCAAAGCCCATCTGACTCTGCCAGGCTGAAATGAGCTGAGATGACAGCGATTCTCCATAACAATGTGCACTACTGCAAGACACCCGTAGCTTTGGTGCAGTTCCTTCTTAGGCTTGACATAGCTGTGGGGTCAAATTTAAGGTGCTATGCACAAATCTTCGTGCACAAAAAACGCTTACAACACCGGCAATATTTTTGATGACAAGATTTCTTTTGAATTGTTTATATCTTTCTTTCATTTTGAGAATAAACCTCACTAAAATTTGTTAGGTTCAGCCATAACAAACAAATAAACAAACAATACTATGTCCAATTTGTTTGTATAGTGATTTTCACAATACACATTGATTTTAATTATGTATAAGTAAATATAGAAATTAAAATGAACTAAGATTAATAAATGCAATGATATAAGCAATGTAGCAGTTGAGATTTGCTATATAGTATACAGTATATCGCCCTAAGCAAATATAGTGTATGAATGCAGATAGGGATGCGGATAAAAATGTATATGGAGAGCTGTGTGATAATACAGGTTCCATTTTTTTTGCGATGATATAAACAATCACATAGCTGAGATTTGCTTTACAGAACATACTGCTTTACTTCAATATACTGTCTGTATACAGGTACAATAGGATGTACTATATGTCCAGCTATTAATATATCGCTGGGCTATAATACAGTTTACATTTTTCAATTAAACAATCAAGCAGTTGAGATTTACAGATAGTACATACTGCCTAACATGAGATTACTGTATGAATATTTACTTCTAAAATAAATGAATTGGATTAAAGTTTTTTGTTAGACAATTTTACTCAAAAACTACAAAAGATTGAGTCAATATTTTGCAGGGAATTATTTTTGCAGTGCTGAGGATGAAACAACAGAGATGTGTTAGATAAATCCTTTGAGTCTCTATGACTATGCTGAATGTTAGTAGTCTTTCAGTGTACAGAGATTTGAAATTCACACTCTTTGTCCACTGACCCCAAAAAATGACCAAAGCACTCTCTCACTCTTGCTTGCTGTGCCATAGAAACATGTCTCTGGGAATTTTTTTTTTTCTCCATGTAGTACCATTGGGACCTTCATGAGGAACACCAGGGTATAACTGAAAAAAGCATTGTATAAAGCCTTTTCTAAAGCATGGCTTACATTTTAAAGCATTATCTAAAATTACAGTACAATTAATCTAAGAGACTTACAAATTTGAAAAAACAAAAACAAATACCTGGTAATTTCGGCAGTAGACAGAATGATTCCCAAGCAGTAAGTGATAATCTACTTAAGCTAGCTGCCACTTATCTGCCTTTCAGCAAGGACTAATGGTCAAATCACCTAATTACTTCTCATAAGCCAAGCTTAGTTTAAAATAGGCCCCCAACACACATTTCAGATCACTCCTACACCCATTTACACGAGTTCACTTTCAAAGGGCCTATACCTGTTTCTCAGTGAGAATAACTCTTCCCAATAGCTGATCTTCCAGGCCCCTCATTGTAACAGTGAAGTCGATAATGGATGTCCTTGCGCTGATCTCAGGAGTGTATGCTGGGTTGGGCAGCTTGGTGGTCACATAGAGACGGAAACCCTTCATTACATCCACTTCTTTATCACCTACTTTCACCTGATGGCAAGAATGAGTCAGAGATTTAAAACGCCAGATGAAGAGCTGCTCTGACATCAACATGAAAACATATCTGAAGAGTAAAGACTGAAGAATGTTCCATATCTCAAGATGCTTCATAAGAATAACTAAGTTTTGAACATTAAAAGATCCTTAGAGAGAAGTTACTAAATAGAGCTGTGTTAATGACCTTCCAAACATAAAAGGTGTTGGTGAAGTTGTTTAATGATATGCCGATTATCTCAACAGGGAGTAACTCATTTTATTTCCATGCCAATTAGCAGAAATAGAATGAACAGGGCTGTTATGTGATTATTATGCAGTGGTTTGACAATGATAAAATGATGTCAACATCTTCCATTCAGTCTCTGTTATAAAAAACGTGTGATCAGGTGTTCACACCTTTGTATTAATAGAGTTGACTAGATGTCAGAGCTCTTTCCGCTGCTTGCTATTTCCACTTCTTTTTTGAACGTGTGAAGCAGCTGCTGTGTGTGATGGTGAAACAGCATCACATTTTTAGAGCAACTGGATATTTGATAATGAGATCAAGGAAAGATGCCCGAAAGGCCATGATTGTCAATCCCAGTCGTGTCCCACACTAGCAGTAAACAGCCAGAACAGCTGGTGTCATCACTCTGACCAGGAACAGATTTTTCTGTCCTTTTTCAGGTTCCCTTTCAGTCGGTCACTCTCGACGTCACGTCGGATGACCGACGAAATTGGGATCTCGCTTAGAGAGACCAATCTACTTCGAGTGTAAACTAAACGAGCCAATGCACATTGGCATGCGATTATTGCATCCAGCTGCCGCTGATCACAGCGTGAGTATAAGTAGGCAGCAGATGCAGCTGGGTCGTGCGATGTCCACTATGGTGGTCCAGGAGCGCCATTTCTGGCTGTGACTGGCTGACATGCGCGAGACGGATAAGACACGATTCTTGAACGCCCCCGTGTCCCAGGCCGGCCTTTTCGGCGACACGGTGGAAAACTTGCCCAGCAGTTCTCCGCTGACCAAAGCAGACTGAGGCCATCAGGTACATCCTTCCCCCGGCGTGCGGCTGCTGCCGTCGCCGAGGGCGGCCCCCCCTGCCACCGCCCCGCTCCTGCGGCCTCCAGCAAAGCTGTGCCGTGGAGCCGGTCGCAGGCCAGCCGCCCCGCCTGTCCAGGCCCCCGTAGTAGATTGGTCTCTCTAAGCGAGATCCCAATTTCGTCGGTCATTCGACGTGACGTCTCCGTTCACTCCTTCAGGGAACGAGGGTCACCATACGTAACGAAGACGTTCTTAATTCTAAGCATATGAAAAAAAAAAAAAAAAAAAAAAAACTGTTCTTTCAGAGCACTTGCTATGGCCTACTTGTCTATAATTTTGTACACTATGAATATCTTTCCAAGAGAGAATAATGACGGAGAGAGTGTTGAATACAATCACAGCTCATCTGTTCTATAATTTAACTTTGGAAATAATAAGAAAGAGCAGAGGTTCTATACAAATGCACAGTATTTTCTAATTCCGCAAAGCAATTTTGTTCATTTCCTAGTAAAAAAAATAATGAAAGGCAATTTTTTTTTAAATGACTGGAACTGCTAAATGATGTTCCCTTTAATGATATTGTCCCTATTTTCTTCCAAGCTTACACTATATTGTTGATTTATATATGATAGATTTTGATAGTAAATTACAGGAGAACATACCTGTATGTAATCATTATGTTTTTGCCACTTTCCAAGAATAAGATATAAAATAAAATAATTTAAAAAAACATAAAAAAAAAACATTTAACTCTTGAATCAGTGAAAAGAGGTGCATAACCTTCATAGAATTTTGATTGTGAGCCTCTGGAGATCAAACAATATATTCTAAAAGTAAAACTATAAATGTGATTATAATATTATAATCAAATATTAAAGTAATTAGAAAGACAAACATTTATTTTTTTACATGTATTTTATATCAATTTTGTGACATGTTTAAATACAATTTACAATTATGTATACAATTCTTACAATTGTGTAATTTTGTTATTGTCTAGCAAATTATATTAACTCCATAATTAATTAAACTAAATGTATCAATAAAATTAAAAAAAACGTTGGTAGCAAATTTAGCCTATGGACTAGTTTGGAGCCAAATATCTATAGTTTTCATGCTATGTTGATTTAATCTCACTCATAGTTCTCACTGAAATACATGGAATTTGTGCATTCAATGCTTAAAACATAATGTACATTTACAACAATGTCAGACCTATTTTATAAACATTTATTTATTTATTTGTTTATTTGGTTGGTTGGTTTATTGAACCACTCTAAAAAATACCTTATATGTGAACCCAGTCTTGATGAAGTTCTTCTCCAGGACATTGTCCAAGGCAGGATCCAATTCTTCCCCAACATCTTCAATGAGCAGGGGACGTCCTAGAGATAAACTGTCCTCTAGATGGTTTCTGAAGTACTTGTGATTCAGTGAGGTGATCTGTGAAAACAGGAAGACCTCATTACTGACCCAGCTCAAGTTCTGCTACTGGGGAAAGCTATGACCTGAGGAGGAGGTGATTTGTTATGAGGTCATACCTCTGAAAGAGTGTCTGACCTCTTAAACAGAAACCATGCATCAGTGAAAGCTGTGCATTTTCAATTAGATTTTATCATGCTTCTTAAGAATATATGTGTTGAACTTTTAAATATGCAGAGACCTATAGTATCAAGTTATCATACCTTGATATAAGCAATACTAAAAAGTATTTTAAAAACAGTGAATTGTTTTGTCATTTTTTTCAGGCCTAGTCCACACGTACACGGATATTTTTATAAACTGAGTTTGTCCTCCTTGTTTAAAAATAAAAAAAAATAAATCCACATTAAAATGCAAAAACACACAATGCTGTCAAGAGCATGCTAAACCAACCGTAAAGCCATGTTGGCCAATCACAGACTCGCCTCATGTAATACAAGGAGATAGCGGTGCACAATCTGACATCAAACAAAGAAGATAACAACGCGCACTCTGACATCACAAGCCAAAATCTCCAGTTTCACCATCAACATGACGGTGAAGACTGCAACACTGCAACCGGAGTTTCTAAAAATCTTCACTCGGGCATCAGTTTTCAAAAAGGTTCAGTTTCAGTGACCTGATACTGTGTTTGCGTGTGGACAAACAGCCATACCACATAGAAAAAGCTGCGGTTTTGAAAATACCCGTGCTTGTGTGGAAAGGGCCTCAGTAACAAGCTGCTTTTTCCATTGACAGTGTCCATGGGTTTTGATTAGTTCACACCTGTTCTGCTTATCCTTGATTACTTCCCTATAGTATTTAAGTCCTGTGTTTCCTTCAGTTCCTTGTCCAGTATTGTTTGTGTTATTGTAGTTGTGCTACATGTTCTCCTGTGGATTCATTATTGAAACTTCTCTTTGTTTCTACTCCTTTGTCATGCCCTTTAATATACAACTACCTATTACAAGGATGATAAAGTGGATTTTATGTAGCATTTTTGTGTGTGTTTGTGTGTGAAGCAATACACAAAAACCACATTATTATGATTTTACAAAAAAAAAAAAAGTCAAATGCTGTTTTTCACCACTATGTTTTTAAACTCACTTATATAAACTATGGTGTTTTCATGTTTTATTAGTTGTTTACTGTAACAAATATATTTAGATTGTAGGTTTTATTATATATTTTTTATTTTTATTTGAACTGCTGGTTTCGTCCGGCCAGAGGAGAACTGGCCCCCCGACTGAGCCTGGTTTCTCCCAAGGTTTTTTTCTCCATTCTGTCACTGATGGAGTTTTGGTTCCTTGCCACTGTCGCCTCTGGCTTGCTTAGTTGGGGACACTTAATTTCCAGCGATATCGTCGACTTGATTGCACAGACACCATTTAAACTGAACTGAGCTGGATGATGACATCACTGAATTCAATGATGAACTGCCTTTAACTGAAAATTGAGTGTTTACTATTGTCATTTTGCATTATTGACACAATATTTTCCTAATTAATGCTGTACAGTTGCTTTGACACAATCTGTATTGTTCAAAGCACTACATAAATAAAGGTGACTTGACTTGACTATTAGTAATTTGTAGTAGCTAACTATTTTTCAGATGGCTTTAGCTTGGCTGTAGTTACAGGATACTTACAATAAGCTGGAAAATCCCCTCTTCAACACTGTAACATATACACTTCAAAGTATGTAATGAACCACATTGTGCAAATTCTCATCAGTGTTTATTCTAAGTGGTCACCTGAAGCTCATTCTTGGACTCTTTGTTCTTGATCCAGATCTTTCCCTGGGTCTGGGGGTCAATCAGCAGGGGAAACCTGGCAGCCTTTGTAACAATAATCCCATTCTGGATGGACAGGTCGTCATTGGGCAGCCCCTGTAGGTTCCATTCACTTACTGTGGGAGCGTCAATCAACATCTCAGTGAGATTCAGATTGGTCCTAAAAGGAATCCGACGGGACTTCATTTCTCTCTGCCAATCAGTGATAAGAAGGTTGCGGAACTCTTGGTTAAAAGGCCCCGAGTAGGAAAGGAAGGCTGTAGCCAGCAGCACATCACCTGAGTATGGGAAATGTAAGATTAGATTAAGACTTAAAAGAATAGAGTGAAACTCTATGTTATTGCTATATGGTTTTATGGTTTAAAATGTTGCTACATGGTTTTAATGCATTGCAATCAATTGCTAGGGTGATCTGGGTAGTTGCTAGGGTGTTGCTATGGTGGTTGATTACTGGTCCAAATCAAAAGACCCCATCCCTTTAATTCTCTGAACCTTTTATATGGTTGGGGTCCCTTCATCAGTGTAAGTCAGTATGATTTATTTACTAATTTTATCACTCTCTAAGCAAAAATTGTCCCAACACTAGAAATTGTAATAACGCACCACTATACAAGAAGTCAAAAAATTTGAGGTATCATTCATATCTGTACCACAGATGGTGCAGGACGAGGGCATGTTCTTGGGAGTTCTGGGTAGTTCCTACGACAATGCTAGCTGGCTGATTACTGGCCCAAGTTAAAAGAGTTCAGCTCCAAGTCTCTATTATATTCTGGTTCCTAGATATGGCTTAGATATTTTATCATCATGGAAATTGTATCTTTAATCAATTAGAAAGTTGCAAGACGTTCTAGAAGTAATAGTGATGGCCAGAGGAGAACTGGCCCCCCGACTGAGCCTGGTTTTCTCCATTTCTGTCACCGATGGAGTTTTGGTTCCTTGCCACTGTCGCCTTTGGCTTGCTTAGTTGGGGACGCTTGACTGATTACACAGACACTATTGGAAGAGAACTGAACTGGATGATGACATCACTGAATCATCAATGTATTGACTTCAGCTGAAATATGACTCCGTTATTGTCTTCTTGCATCATTAACAAACTAGTTTCCTGTTTGACTCTGTAAAGCTGCTTTGACACAACCAGTATCGTATAAAGCGCTATACAAATAAAGGTGACTTGACTTGACTTGACTTGACGCTTTCCTACACTGTTGCTAATACTATAAACAGAGCTAATAAGCTCTTCTGATACAATATCTTTGTAGTTTATGTTCAAAATGATTTTAATATATGAAAATTCATTCTCAACATGTCTGTAAAAATTTATTTTTGGTGAACAGACATATCTGGGACTGAAAGGTGATTACTACAAAAAAGTCAACCAAATCATGTTATAGTAAAACTCTAAAAGAGAAAAAAAGTGGCCGAAAGTTTTATGTAAAAACACACCAACTAGTCGCTTGGTCTGAGCAGCGAAATCTTTACTAAGCTGTGTCCAACGCTCTTTCTCTCCTGCCAGCCCACTGATAAGACTAGAGGCGGTTTGCATCTTGTGCCGACACCTTTCCGCATCCTCCAGTAAAGTCTGAGAAAAAAGAGGGAGAGATGGTAAGAAATAAAGAAGGATTAATTCTGCCACTGTGCACACTGTGCAGCTGTGCTCGTTCACATTTATTGACTCTTACCAAGAGCGAGAATGTCAGTTCAATTCAGTGTAATTTATTGTGACCTAAGAACATTCATGTTGCCTTATTTAATAGACAGGTGTTGTTTCTCAGGGCACCTGTTTCATTCAGAACGTAAGGAGATTTTATGCATGGTAAAAAAAAAAAACATGCCTTTCTTCATTTCAATTTCCACTTCTTTCAATGTGTGGAAACAGGTAAATTAGTAAAACTTCTTACAGTGTTTAAAGTCAATTCATATTTTTATTCAGTCATTGGTAAAGTGAACATCTGTTCTGTTAAGTACGTATGATCAGGCCTGACATAAATCAACACCAAAGGATATCAGTCAGTCAAGCTGTTAATCACACAATTATCAACCAATTTATGAAATGTTAATAAGGCTCGTTATACATTGTGAATGGGAACATTGATGTTTGCTTCAAACCATTTAAAACATTAGTATTAATTTTGTAGAGGCACACAGAGTACAAGCCTGAATGATTCATCTGCAAGATGGTTTTAGATTTGTTTACAAAATTGCTCATTACATTCAATTTTATGCAAAAATGCAAATTAGTGATTGATTGAGTATTTACTTCAAGCACTAAATGACAGCTGATTCTCCATTTTTCACAGAATAATTAGAAAAGTGGAAAAATCTTGATGAATTTTCTTTGGGCTATTGCTGGAATTTAAGGCAAGTAAGAAACTTAACATTTTCTCAGTGAATTCTCTGGGTTTAATTTAAGGTTATTATTATAACCTTATTTATTCGATTATTTAAATTATATCATTATATTTAGATTATTCGTGTCATCGTGATGACAGCTTTGACCCTTAGCTAGGGGTGTCCAACCCTGCTCCTGGAGAGCAAATGTTCTGCAAAGTTTAGAGCCAACGTCCCTCAACATGCCTGGATGTCTCTAGTAATTCTGAAGACCCCGAGAAGATGGTTCAGTTGTGTTTATTTAGGGGCTAAATTCTGCAGGACAGTGACCCTTCAGAAGCTGGACTGAACACCCCTGCCCTAATCTATTTAACACAGTAGTTACCTGTTTTTCCATCATGGCCTTCTCATACTCGGCCTGAACTACATCCAGCTCTGCTTGCTTAGCATCTAGTTCTGCCTGGGCTTTCTGGAGGTCCACATTAGCTATGTCCAGCCTGTTCTCCTGAACTGCCAGATTAGCCTGAGGATGATGAAGAGAGACAGTGTTGTAAATTTATCCAGCTCCTGGAAAACAGCAGGTTAAAGCAAGGAATTCTAAAAGGAAACAAGAAATCATTTTCCACTGAACAAAACTAAAAATGATCATTGTGCTGTGTTGCATGGGTAGATTTAGGTACACAATGTAGGGCCATGTCCCTAACAAAGAAAGGCGACTACTGAATAACCCCTATAAATATTTAGAGCACAGTTCTGACTTAATGTAGCTAACTAAAGGCACAAAAAGCAACCAACTGCAGTCTGAAACCTAACTGTTTTGCAGTAAAAAATGCAAAGTTTTTTAATGCAAAGAGTTTTTACGAGCAAAGAAACTGCATTTGTATCATTTCATAAAAAATATGCAGTTCTAATTGTGATTTTCCTGATGAAATTATAAAAATTATACAATTATATTACAACATTTTGTTTGTCTGTTTGTTTTTTTCTTCCAGTTTTTAAAGAGTTCCAGGTCTGCTTGAGTGCAGGGCTGCACATTTGATCACAATATTCATAATGCAATAATCTTTTTTTTTTTTCACAAACGTTTTTACTTGCATTTGTTGCTTGGTGAATGTTAAATTTGGACAATGTACACAACTATTCATGTGCTTCGACAAGGTTACACACACTGGTTCACATTAAAAAAAATCGCAGCTGCACAAAGTAATTTTGGTCAGAAACTTTCACATTAAATTCATTTTGTGAAATAAAACTGAATGTTTGGATTTTGCACTGTATAAAATATCAATCAAGAAAAAATTTAAAATACAAAGTATTCATAAAAAAAACTGTTTGTGCAAGTGTGCATCTGTAAAGTTTGACTTTAAGTTTACTTAGTCCTTGCCAATGATAAACTCAAATCATGCCCTTGAACAACTGAAAAACATTTACAGTTTTAAAGGCCCCATGAAATGTTTCATATGTTTAAACAGCCACCATTTCTTACTTGATATTACTAGTCCAAAGATGGTAAGTATTTCAGGGGTGGTGGTAGACAGAATTGTCTGCTTTCCCACAAAAAAAAAAAAATAATAATAATAAAGGTATGCATGTATGTATCTGCTAAAGGTTAACTTGTCAATATGTATTAGGAGTATTGAAGCTAACAAATATGAACTAAAAGCAGCTATAATTTGAATTTCTTGTGGTATTTGAAAAGTGTGCATCTGAGGCACCAGGCAACTGTTTGAAAGTAAGCTATCATATCAAAAGATGATAAAATAATAAATCATGCCCAAAGGTAAAGAATAATCGAATATCAATAGCAATTCATAAACTAATAGTTTTGACAGTTTAAGTGTTTTGACAGTTTAAATTGGGGCCTGTGAGGTTGCATCATGTAAAAACAATCAAGTGTTCTGACCTTCAAAGGAAGCACTTCTTTATTGATAGAGAAGAAGGCAGCCATGGCTTTGGTCCAGGAGCAAAGCCCTGCAACATTGCCGCACACTCTCTTGGCTGTTTCTATATTATAGTCTGACATGTCAAAGTATGGAGAAAGGAGTTCCACCACCTCCTCATTGATGGTGTCTTTGGGGAATTGCTAGAGGACAAAACAAAAGCTGGAGTAAAACAATATAGGTGTACATTATATGGAACATATTTGAACGTATGCTCTTGAAATGCCAATTTTATTTGATATTTGTAGCTCACACTTCTGTTGTTAGAAGATACAGATTATGCATGGAACCTTATCTTAAAAGCAAACAGACAGCTTTTAAAATATGTTCTACAAGATATACCAGTATAATATATGTTTGTGTAAAATGCAGTATTGATTAGCTGTCAGAGCTGAACTTATTCGTGCCAGCATTTTAACTGAATTTTGTCCCAGGGCTCTTCTGTCCACTAAAATCCTAATTCCTGACACAGCATCTGTTGGCTTCGGAAAGTGTAAAGCCAAAAATCAAAGAGGATTCCCTTTCTTTTTTTTTCTGTTAATAAGCGTCAGTCAGTCTCTTTCTTTCTTTCTTTCTTTCTTTCTTTCTTTCTTTCTGTTTGTTAATAAGCATCATAAGTAAAAATCCAGTTTCCAATCATGCAGTACTGGTATCAATATTGGTACTACTACTGGTACTGCTAGTAATACAGCTAAAATAACTCCTTGTGGTTACAACTACAGTGGTGCTATATTTTAATTGCCCAACAAATAATACATGAACATGCATATCAACAATGCAGTGTTCAGATTGGTCCATTCCATCACAGTGGAGTAATAAACAAAACACTACACACTCTAAAAATGCTGGGTTGTTTTAACCCAACTCTGGGTCAAATATGGACTTAAAAAATGTATTAAAAAATTAACCCAACAGTTGGGTTAGTCCATATTTGACCCAAAGTTGGGCTGAAACAACCCAGTATTTTTTAGAGTGTATATTTGAATATTCCTGGACACTAAAAGACATGGTTTCAACAAAACAGAGTGCTTTGTTTTCACAGTGTTTTAAGCTTTGCAATGGGCTGACATTGAAGAAAGAAGCAGTTAAAACTATATTATAAACTACACAGCAAATCACTGTTACTTTTTCACATGTTAAGAGGACATTTACATAGAATTCATAACGGCCTTGTTTAATTGTGCAGAGAACGGGAAATAGTTATGCAAACTAAAATATGACTGTTTTTGGTGCAAGAAACCTTCAGGGAAAAATACCAAGAATGGTATCTAGTATAAAGACTTGTACCTGTAGACTGCCCAGGAAGTTGCCAGCAGTCATAAGTTTGAGTGATTCTTGCCAGGAGGGCATGGAGCAGTTTTTCTCAGGATCAATTTTCACTGTGTTCACTCTCCTCTGGAAGAGCAATAACACACAGTCCATAATTCGCATGATGAGGTGGGGCGGTCTGCCCAGTGTTCGCACCGTGGCAATATCTGATGGCTTTATGGTCTGTTTACAGATAAACAGGGAGAGAAATACAGAAAGAAACTGAATGGCAGTAAATTAGACATCTTGTTAACATTCTGACATATCAACTAGTTTGAGGCAGCTCTGAGTCATCCGACTCATCTGAGTGGCAGCTGTTATGGCTCATGGTTGACAAAGTTTAGCACACATAAGCTTAATGAGCAATCCGTGATGGATTTATTTGATCTCATATGAATAAAGTAGAAAGATGTATAAACCTGTGAACCAGTGGAAAGGAGTAGAGTAGCAAGGGTGTTCTAGGGTATGCTGACTTATTACAGTAAGTCAGTGATAAAAGATGAAAATTCAGAATGGACGGAATGCTAGACAATGCTATTATTGTCCCTGCTTGAATTGCTAATCTGGGGTATCTCATTTAAAAATACCACCAATCAAAATATCTGTATTTGTTTTTTTTTTGCCTTATGATCCTTCGGAATTCATTCCAATATGCTGACATTTCTTAATATTATATTGAAAACAATTTTCTCAAGATTATTTGATGAGTAGAACATTCAAAAGAACAGCGTTTATTTGAAATAAAATATATTTTGTAACATTCTTTACTGTCACTCTTGATTAATTTAATAATAAATTAAAAGTATTCATTTATTTCAATAAAAATATAATAATAATAATAATAAACTTTTGAAGGGTAGTGTAAATGTAAGCACTATTACTTACAATGTATGCTATATGTCCCAAACAATCTTGGTTTTAAATATTAAACAAATTCATTCATCTGTATAGTGTGTTGTTGGTCTGGAAGTGATTGAGACATTGCTCTTCACAGGAGAGGTTGGAGGGTGGGATGAGAAAAGGTCTAATGCTCTATCCTCCCCTCCTCCCACCCCCCAACCTCTCCTGAGCTTTTCGCTTCCATTTTTGAGCCTTTTTCAAAACTGAGGTGTGAATGGCTAGTGCCAAAACAGGGAGGTTTATGACCCTTAATGCCTTGAAATACTTCAAGTGAAATCAAAGAACATAATGGTGTGACTTCTTTCCAAAAGGCACAAAACAAAGTTCAAAATAGCTTTAGCTAAAATTAGCGTGTGTGTATTCATTCATTCATTCCAGTTCCCTGACAAAGGAACACGATGCTGCATTGTGCTGCCATACTTCAGGCATGCCTGTGCATCCTCCTTAAGACAATTCAAAGCTGATGACATTTTACAGACGCCCTATTATAGTATGCCAGTGCACATAGTGACATCATATGAGTACAGTACTGAATCAAGATGGGCGTGTACGCATATATGCTTCAGAAACCAGTTACACTGAAGGCATTCCCATAGCGTCAATATCATGATGAAGCATCTGGTTCCTTTCTCAGGAAATACATAACAGTGATACATACTTTGTCTTGGCCTGATTTTGTTTAAAATGACATTACACAAGTTCTTCAATTTCGTTTTGAGTATACTGAGAGCTTTAAAAGCTTTGTGAAACTAACTTAAAACAACGTAGTGCAGTATTTCTCATATATGGGTGTCTCAATAAATCATTCAAAATGTATAAAATATCTGATTAGAATATTATGCCAAATAAGTAAAGTATATTTTAACATATTATATTTATAAGCTATAAGCTATAGTAATGAGCTAAATGTATGTAGCTAAATTTTAGTTATTAATGTTATTGAAATAACTGTTATTGAACTATTGCAACTAAACTGGAAGTGATCTGCATCATCTAGAGCAGACATATTGAAATGTGCACAGAAAAATCAAAACAGAAAAAAGAAAGAGTCCCAGGTATGATGGGATGCATTATGGACAGATTCGTGGGAGGGACACAGTGGGCAGGTGGTGGAGGGGAGAGGTGGGGTATGTGTTTGTGTGGTTATATGAGTGAGTGGGTGTGTGGTGTGTGGGGTTGGTTAGAGGCAGTTGCTGTCAGACCCCTGCTCGCTACGAGACCCCCTACAGCAACCCTGCCATCACACAATCTATTTTTACACCCTCACAGGCAGCATGTAATTACACTGAAGCTGCAGGCACCATAATGCCCCACAAACATCACACTCCTCTCATTCTCTCCTCTCCAATGTTGCCATGTAATCGCTCCATATTGTTCCTGACCTGCAGTGCTGCCTCAGCCTCTTCCAGAGCAGGCCTTGCTGCCTCCAACTTCTCTTCAGCAATGGCCTTGTCTGCAGAGATGCTGTCCACTATGGCCTGCGCTTTATCTTTGACCTTCTGAACTTCGACTTTGACCTTTTCAGCAGCCTGAGCCTTCACAGTCACCTCCTTCAACACCTGAAACAAAAATGAGAACAAATTAAAACACTAAAATCAATGCTGTAATACCTGTAGTATTTCATGCTATAATTCTGACTCTGGGGCTGTTAATTTGTCATCCTAATGTTTCAGAGCACAGTATTGATCTTTAGTTAGCCTGTGACTGGGAGGCAGTTCTTTCACTGAATGGTTACTTTCAAGCTTTATGCAGCATGACGGATTTAATTTAGAACAGAATAGAACGTAGTAGAATGACTACAATACCATACAACTTTAAAGTCATAAAGAAACCGAAGTATCAACAGATCTTTTCTTCTGTATCGTGATGTACATCAGAGTGTAACAAAATATTGAAAAAGAAAAACTCCAGGGTGGGGACTTGGTTCTATGCATCAGTTGTTGATTGGATTTTGAGATGGGTGGGTGTTGCACTCAAATGTGGCGGTAGATGAACGTAAGCTTGCAGAGCTGTGGTTTAAAGGGGTCATGAACTGAGAAATCTAAATTCCCTTGATCTTTTGACATATAAGAGGTCATCGTAAAACATCGTATATAATGTTTATAAAACATCCTATAACATCTTTATAAAAACATCCTGTAAGTTTCAGAACTCAAAACTTTCTCGTTAAAAATATATTGAAGCCAATCTGCCAAAATGACAGTTTGTGGAATGTGCCGCTCTATGACATAACAGAGTGGGTAAACCCCGCCTCCGCAGAAGAAGATCAATGACTGCTTCTACAGCACTGCCTGTTTAGCTCCGCCCACTGATTCGTAAATGTAGTGCAAATAACGAGAGAGACAAACGCAGGTTTACACAGAAACCAGACGATAAAGATGGCTCAGAAGACAACAAGACACTGTGCAGAGCCAAATTGTGGACAAACACTGTCTCTGCATAACCTTCCATCAGATCCCAACATTAGGAAAGAATGGATTAGCTTTAGTTCCAGACCGCGTCTATAAAAGGTTGTTCACTTCATTTCACTGCGGATTTGTTTACAAACAAGACACAATTCGACACCAGATTTTCTGAAAGACTGAAATTAAAAGACAATTCAGTACCGACTCTATTGGATCCGACAGTAATGTCGCACCACACAAGTGTGAGTAACTGTTTTTATTACCTGGTCACAATTGCTTCGTCTGTTATTACAGATCGTTTGATATGTACTAGCGTTTTTATCCTAAATCACAGCAGGGTCCATCTGTGAAGGATGTCAGCTGTCAAACATTCATGCAGATTTTTAAATATGCAAAACTGTTAGCCAATCATAGCAGAGGGCGTTAACTTCCGAGTCTACAATCTGCCACGCCTATTCATATAGAGCGTTCTGATGACAGGGGGGTCAAAACAGGACAGAAAATAGCCTATTACTGCTAAAATATTATGTTTTTTATGTAAAAATCTTGATAACATCATAAGTGGACCTCTGAGAACAGTACAACATAATAAAAAAAGGCAGTTCATGACCCCTTTAAGTGGTCTAATTGGACAAAGTCCTGCATATGTCACCAGTAAGAAGCCTGTTATTTTCAATAGAAGGTCCAATTATGACATTTTAATTAAAATTACAAAATCAAAATATTGTAAAGAAATTAAACCTATGCACTGATGAATTGTTCACAATAAAATGTATAACATGCATTTAGAAAATAGAGTGCATTTTTAAATTTTATTTGCTAACTATAAAGAAAAATATTTGCTGAGTCTGACTAATGAGAGACTACTCGTATATCATCTGGAGAGAAGGGCAGCAATTAACACAGATCATCTTTAATAGATTATCAATGGCAGTTTTTACAAGGTGAGAAATCTGTGATTGTATCAGTTCTGACAAGTTACTGCAATAATTTGTGATGCAGATCTGATTGAATTCTGCAAGACTGCCAGAAACACTTAAACAACCAGGGCCATTGATTGTTAAAAATAATAATAATAAATAAAATAAAATAAAAGTGCATCAACATCTTGTGCCAAGAGAGCCATGTTTTTAAAGAGTATTTCAAATTAAAAACTGTTCAACTTCAACATGCTTGGAAACCCCCTGGTTTGGCGAGGCCTATTGCCTGCAGTATCAGCAGCTGAGTTGACTGTGGAGATTTAAAAAAAATAAATTAATCTAAATGAATAAATCAAATTAACAGCCTTCAAAATGGCATGTTCTAATTGCCTTGGAAAGGGAAAAAAATGTAGCTTCCCATAAGGCATATAAATATTTTCCCAACAGAATGTACTTTTTTGACAGAAAAAAAAGTCAAAATAAAGTGAAATTTTACTTTTACTAGCAATACATCTCATTTGAGATTAGATTTCCAAAAGCTATGACCACAACCCACTGGGCATCCAGTGTCAGGATGCTGGTTTGATAGTGTCATGATCTTCCCCTGTCTTGTGTTTAGACTTTTGTGTTACTTCCTGTCTAGAGTGTTTTTTGTAGTCAACTTGTAGTCCTGTTGTTTCATTGGTTGTCTTGATTCCTTTCCCAGGTGTGTCTTGTTACCTTGTTATCCTGTTTGCGTCTCTGTGTATAAATACCCCAGTGTTTCAGGTAGTCTTTGTCAGTTGTTGAATGTCTGTGATGGTTGCTCCCTGCCCTTGTCTAAGTTCCTTGTTTTACCCATGTTGGATTACTTGTTGTTTCCTGCATTTTTATTAAACTCCTGCACGTAGATCCTCACCTCTGTTTGCCTCATCTCGTCTCTGCAACGTTACAGAACAGCTGACCACATTATGGATCTAGCAGGAGTTTTTTTGCGACCCCGTAAGTGTGCTCTGCTCCAATTTTCAGAATGGCCGACCCATTGAATGCTATGTGGAGGTCGCCGTGATTTTGCCAAGTAAGACATGTTCCTGGATCAACATCATTTGTTGATCCTGGATCAACATAACTGTCCAAAAATATAGACTTAACCCAATCCCTACCCCTAAACCTAACCCTACCCATAATTTATTCCTAAAAACAGTGTGAAATGATAGCTGATTAACAAGGGTGTAGAAGCACCTAACCCTGATTGTAAGCTTAAAACAGATATTTCCTGAAAAGTTATCCCTCAATTCTGATTGGTTGATAGGAATGTTGTTCCTGCATCAACAAGGATGTTGATCCAGGAAGATGTTGTACTTGGTGAAATCACGGTCACCGCTATGTGGAGGAGTTCCTTTTGTATAGCCACCTTATGCTTGGTGATGAGGCTATGGTAAAAGACTGTTTCTGGAGTGGACTTGATCCAAATATTAGATTTATTGAATTTGTCCTGCAGTTTTGTGAATCCCCCTTTACAGTAGGGGAGGTTGAGAGGGACGCTACCCCTAAACCAACGTTCTCAAGCCCTTCTGTCCCAGAAGTAATCCCCATGTCTACAGCACTTCCTATATGGGGGATGGCTTTATGGTGTGCTTGGGCTGCACACACTACCACCGAAACTCCAGAGCCAATGGCAACCGCCGAAGGATCTCCAGAGGTGGCTGTTGAGGCTGCAGAACCTCCAGAGGCGGCGGAGCTTGCTTCGGCTCCTTGCGTGGTGGTGGCGCCCAGTTATGAACTCTCTGTCTGTTCTGTTATAGCCAAGGAGGCTGTTTATGAACTCTCTTGCCTGCCCAGCCACAGCCAAGGAGGTCGTTTATGAACTCTCTGTGTTTCCTATCCCTGAACTGTTTTCTAAAAAGGGCCCACCCAGCCCCCACTCCCTCCCCCTCTGTCTCTGCCAGCTAGCCCCTCAGCTCTGTCTCCTCTCTTCCCTTTCTATTCCTCAGCTCCACCTCTGTGGGAAGTATGCTGTGTGGACTCGCTGCGGGACTTCTAGTCTCCAGCTACATCATGTGTGGGGGATCCCTGGTCTTTGCCTTCAGCCTCCGAGACCCGGACTCCACTTCAGCCCTTCGACCCATTGGCTCCACCTTGGCTCCTGGCTCCCTCGTCTCCACCATGGCTGTCAGCCCACCAGCTCCACCGGGCTCCCTCGTCCCTCCGGCTCCGCCTTGGTCGGTCGTCCACCTGCCTATGCTTTGGGACTACACTCCTCCTGCTACGCCTCGTCCCTTCATACCTCTGGCTCCGTTGGACTCCTCCCTCCCCTCAGCTCCACCTTGGTCCTCTGTTGCTCCGGCTCCACCGCGGTCTTCCGGATCCTCACTTGCGCCTCAGTCGCCTCAGCCGTCACCTCTGCCATGGCCCTCCAGATCCTCAGTGTCGCCTTGGCTCTGCGGCTCTCCGTCTCTGCCCTGGGCTCCTCTTCCAACAGCTCCGTCTCCATCAGTCGGGTCAGATAAACACAGCCCTTCTTCCATCATGGCTCCTCCCTCCATCGACTACACCGTGGGCCTCCATCATGGCTGCGGTCTGGACTCCGCCCTGGTCATCCACTCCTCCGTGGGGGTCTTCGATACAGCTGTGTTTGTGTTTTGTCTCTTTGTTTATTTGGGGCACATGACTGTTGTGTTTGTCTGACCATGTGTTTTGGTGCATGGTGTTTATGTTCTGTTGTGTTTAGCCATGTGATTAACTGTTAGTTGTTGGCCAGCCCTCTTCCTATCTTGTCAGTTCATTATCATCCTCACCTGTTACCACTCCACACCTGTTAGTTTCCTTTCAAATTTCCCTTTATACTGCCAATTTTTTATTTTATAATTTTTTTTGTGTGTGTGCCGAGTCTTGAGCTAGATCGTGTATTTACGTTTAGTCATTCATGTCTTGCTCTCTAATCTTGTCTACAATAGTTGTCTTATTTTTTCCCATTTTAATCATTGCTTTGATAGGGTGTAGGGTGTTTTTTACGGAGCTCCCACTTGCATAACCAGTTTACTTTTCCAGTTCCTTTTTTCTTTTTCTTTTTCTTTTTTTTTCTTTTACCTCAACATCCCTCTTTCAGATTCATAATTATTTTTTTCTCCTCTTTATTTGAACTCTTTCTTTCTGGAGGTTCACATTCAGTTTTAGTTTAGTCTTGTTTTTTTCCCCCCCTTTTTATTTTGTTTTATTTATTTATTTTTGTTCCAGCTTCCCCACCTTCCTGGCTGCTGGGCTGTCTTCGTCATCCCACCATTTATTTCCCCCGCTGCCATATCCCTCTCCTCTTCTCCCCGCCTCACCTGCCACCACTGCCAGCTGCTCCTCTGCCTCAACCGTCATTCCTATCCTCCTGTGCAGATTGCTCTCTCTTTAATGGCTGTCTGGACTTGATCTTGTCTAGCCCTTGTTTTTCTGTGTTAAATATTATTTTACCCTGCAACCTGAATCCTCCTCTCTCTGGAGCCCTGACATCCAACAGCAGGAACACCTACAAACAACCAACAGTACAGCGACCTGGTGTCACTGAGCGTGAAAATCGCTGTCAGAATGAACTGTTTAAAAAGTCTGTGAAAAAAAAACATCTAGTGCAAAGATGGGCAATTTCAGACCTGTTCTGCAGTGTTTAATTCCATCCCTAATCAAACACACCTGCTTATTATAACTTCAAGCAATCCTGAAGACTTTGTTTGGATTTTTCATGTGTGTTTGATTATGGATGGAGCTAAACTCTGCAGGACAGTGGCGCTCCAGGAGAAGAGCTGCACATCTCTGCTCTAGTGTAACCTGAAGCAGAGGCTATCCGCTTGTCTTCAAGGTGAGCATGCTGTCAGTCTGCACAAGCTGACCTGCACAATATGTTGGACGTTAATAACTACAGGCCTGTAGTCTGTTATTTATTTAAGGACAAATATCTTTTGACTCGTTTTGCCCCCAGGACACAAACATGTTGATATCTGAGTAATAATCCTTTGTACTCCTGTCCATGTACAACAAACCAAGAACTTCAATATGGCCTGGAAATTTCATTTCTGGGATGATGACTCAAGCAATCAATCGTGTATAGAATGAAGTGGACAGGGGAGCTGACACACTCATGAGGGGCCTCTGTTAAAATTGACCAGGACTTTGAGAGAGTTTTGTTGACCTTTATCAGCTAACTATGGTTAGAAGTAATAAATAACATTTTGAAATAATCAGAATGGAAAGTTATGTCGGGAGGTACACAATCATTAACAAAAACATTTACCATATCAGCCTTCTCATTGGCTATTTGAAGTTCTTTCTCCTTCACCTCCAGTTCTTTGCTGAGGGCAGCAACAGACTCAGAGGCCTCCTTGAGTTTCTGGAGGCCGGTGTTCATCCTAATAAAACAATACACTTGGAAATGAAAGTCTACAACACATTCCAGACTCCGTAATTAATTTTTTACAGAAAATCAGGGGGGAATCCACTAAGAATGTGCCTGCTGATAGTGCTGTTTATTTGCATGGACTAACTGAATTATGCAAATTAGGTAACAATACAAATGCACCCACAAATGTCCATGCACAGTGCAATTTCAGATATTGTTGTAGGCTGTGGAGGATGCAGAATATTACTGCAATCTGGCATACTTTGAGTAGATTTTACTGTATCATGCCACAGCATCCAATCTACCATCTTATTTCCTTTGGTCAGTAATACTACAGTAATTATGCCAGGCAAATAATGTCTGGTTTTTGCATAAGGCAGAATCTGTAGTTTAATTTACATAGAAAGGTGACATGTTTGGACAAAAGGGATTGACAATGACTTTATTCAAATACACAGCGCAGCACTATTTCAACACTAGGTTTATAACCTGTTTAACCTGGTTATAATTATTTTTTTTCTTGCACAAATACAATGCACAAAAGTGGCACATCACTTTAGTGAATTCACCCTTCAAAGTCAGGACATTATACAATATTAATTTAAGCTCTCGTCATTCTATTTCTGATTATACTGACCTGTCAGCTAGAGTCTGAACCTCTAAGTGCTTTTCTTTGTAGATGGTCTTGTAGTCATGGATGAATGACAGGTAGGATTTGGGTGTGACGTGTGTGGAACGGCGGTACCGCTGAAAATAATCTGCACACTTTTCTGCCACCCCATCCTGAAAAGAGCCCATGCACTGAACCACTTCCCCCTTTACCTCGGGAGTGCAGTCTATGTCATACGTGGACAGGAAGTGTTCTGACACTAAGACAAAACAAACAAAAAGCATGTTTTTCCTATTTCTCTGCACAATATGTATATATACTGTTTATCTAGCAATAGCTACAATCACATTCATTTTGCTACGACTGATTGCTGATGCTTTTCTTGATTGTCTTTGAATATGTTTAAATTATTGTTCCATTCTCAGCTACATGTTCTAACAGAGCAGAAGATATGTTCTCTAAAATGTGACTGATTTAAATGGTTTGTGAATCATTTTGTGTCATTCCTAAATTACTTGTTTTCTGCATCAAACTGTACAGGCACACAAATTTACTCTGACAATAGGGGCTATTTTCGGAATAGACAATTAGCATTATAAGACATTGGTTTGAGTGCTGATTTTAACAGGTAAATCTGGTCTGGGATTTGGCCGGTTATACATTGTTTATAGATGCTGGGTCTCTGGAATTAATTGTTTTTTCATTCCACAACCAGCATACAAATCACAAAATGGGGTCAAATGGGGCCAAAACCATTTGAAACAGCAGTAAAATATTGCCACTCTGTCAAACCAGTCATTGTATGCTCCATTCTAGTTTTGTTTGATCCAGAACACAAATTTCAGTAAATGCACTCACTCAAAAAATGTGCTGTATCCCTTCTTAGACATGATATATTTTATTTATTAAGGCATTAGAATCACTGCCAGATTTTAGGGTTCCCCTTGGGTATATTGAACCTTAATGGATCTGACATTTCAAATTACTGACCTGCGATCAGAGCATCTTTGGGCCAGCGACTAAACCAGTCCATGGTGCATCCTGAAATGAGAGCAGGAAATTTCAAAGCTCGATTACGGAACCTCTCTCCGACTGGAGAGAAGCACAGAACCACGTGAAGGTTCTGCCTCACTCTGCTCATAAAATACTCATGTAGGTTTTCATTTGTGGGTGGACGCCGTGGAAACTCTCGCTTCATGACTGGAATGAGGTCACTGATAATCTCGTCGATCTCATCTCGAGCAAACAGATTGGACACCTGTGGCAGAGAAATATTTCACAGCTCATTAGATTAAACCTGGTTTCTCTGGGAATTTACGACAAATGTACAATATAGACATAATGACACACCTGAGGGAATAAATTTACGCCTTCAAAGGAAGGGAGAAGACATTTGAATGTTCTTAGTCATTCTCTGAATCACTTAAGGGATAGTTCCCCCAAAAATACAAAGTCTGTTATCATTTATTCATACTCATGTCTTTCCAAACCTGCATTACTTTCTTTCGTGGCCCACAAAAGAAAAACATTCTTAAGACTGTGCTCTTTTACATACAATGAGAATATGTGATTCACTATATTTGAAAATGTGTCAAACTAAAAAATATTTAATTCAATTTTGGTTTGTTCTTCACTCAATTCTATCATATGGCATCAGAAGACTTGGAATACAGCCCATGACTCATATGATTTTATGGCACCTTGGTAGCCCCTGGTTATGGTAGAGCAATGCATGACAAAGAACAGTCTGAACAGTTTCTTCAAAACACCTCCTTTTATGTTCCACAGAAGAAAGAATGTATTATGGATTTGGAATGACATGAGGCTGAATAAAGGGTTGCAGATTTTTCATTATTTAGTGAATCATTCCTTTGAGGTGATCGTATTCATTGCTATATACATTTTATATAGTCTTCATTTTTGTGGCATTTTTACATAAATTTTTTAGTTAAAATTACGATAATTTTTAATTTGAGTAGGCAATTTTTTAATGTAGGCTAATCTGCAATTTATATAGATATAGATAGATATAGATAGATAGATATAGATATAGATAGATATAGATATAGATATAGATAGATAGATAGATAGATAGATAGATACTGTATGTACTCTTGGAATATTATACTAATGTGCCCTTTCTCTTTCAACAAATGTAATTCCAAATAAACAGTTTGTCTCTCCAACTCTTCCCTCTGTCCACCCTTAGCTCTGCAGAAGTGCAGTGTTCTCCCCTGAGACGCGGTCATGTTAACGCAATACCTCCTCAGTACTGCTCTGTAGGCAAACCTGCATTACTTTCTTTCGTGGCCCACAAAAGAAAAACATTCTTAAGACTGTGCTCTTTTACATACAATGAGAATATGTGATTCACTATATTTGAAAATGTGTCAAACTAAAAAATATTTAATTCAATTTTGGTTTGTTCTTCACTCAATTCTATCATATGGCATCAGAAGACTTGGAATACAGCCCATGACTCATATGATTTTATGGCACCTTGGTAGCCCCTGGTTATGGTAGAGCAATGCATGACAAAGAACAGTCTGAACAGTTTCTTCAAAACACCTCCTTTTATGTTCCACAGAAGAAAGAATGTATTATGGATTTGGAATGACATGAGGCTGAATAAAGGGTTGCAGATTTTTCATTATTTAGTGAATCATTCCTTTGAGGTGATCGTATTCATTGGGTATTAATTTATTGAAATGAACAGATCACCTTAAATTAATTCTCTCTTATCCCCTTCAAGCTTTTGGGGTACATTAGAGTTGGGATCTTTCAAACGGTGATAAGTATTTACTTGAGTTTATCACTTTTGAGAATTTTCCAAGGAGTAATTTGTGTGCATCAGTGGAAGTTTTTTGACTTGTTAACATGGTCAGCATCACAAGTTTGCTTATTTGATTTAGAGACCTAGAAATAGTGCATTATCTTATTTCTTTTTTTAGTTAAGACCATATTATTTCTTCATTCTAAATGGTCAGAAACAATAAAACATTGTTTATTTTCATGTTTTAAATTACATTTGGAATCCCAGATTTTCAATGTGGTCTGAGGTCTGATACTGCTGGGCCCCACTGTATAAGATAATGCTAATATATTAGATTATGATACAACTGTCTGTCAGGAGACAAAAAGTTCTCAGAAGGACTACAAATGCATTAGTGCATGACTGGAACAAGGAACATATTTCTGGAACTGGAACATATTTCACTTAAGTTTGGCTACACAGGCCTCCTGCTGCACGACAGAGTACAACACTCTCAATCTCACAAAAATAAAGCAATTACCATGAGATAAAAATGCTGGAGTCTGTCTCGTCATGTCCCTTAAAGAATTATCTTGCTGTTCTGCTCTCTTTTCAGTATCTTGGATAATAACTTGCACTAAACTCCATTTGTTAATGCCTCTGTCTTCCACACTGACACACCAGTCTCGCCTTGGTTTCCCAACTAAACCCTGAGATCCTCAGTATAACTGAGGGCTTGTGTGCTTCATTCATTTTCTTGAGCAGGGCCATCTCTCCCTGGGCCCTCGAGTGCTCTTCTCCTGTGCAGTCGATTCTCTTTATGTACTTAACAGCATGATTAATGAAATAACCTTCACCAAACCCGGCTGACCAAAAACCTTTCTAAGACTTTATGACAACTTCAAAAACACTAAGAGGTACACCCTGCGGTTTGAATGATGGCCAATTATTCTCTAACCCTTTTATTTATTCAGTGATGGTGAGTAAGACACATTGGAACATAGTGCTAATTAAACACATTTAGTCATTTGTAAATCTTTTTATTATTCCTGGTACTTATTCTGTGACTGGTTTCCCTGTGGCTACCCACTCACTCTCTCCCTCCCTCTTTCTTATAGGCCCACATGGAATCTTTTCCCACAGATCTCTGCAGATTTGCATAGAATTTGCCTTTCACAACATATACGCCTTGCATTTTTGTTTATGAAATATTATGCAAATTTGACTGTTTTTATACCATAATAATATTAATCACATCTTAACCATGTTTTAATCCATTTTTAAGGAAAATAATTCCTTTTTTAAAAGAATATCACATAAAACTGACTTTTCTTTTCTGTTTTTAAATAAAAGAGTTTTACCTTTACAAAAAAGAAAAAAAGGAAAAGAAAAACAAAAAACAAAAGCAAAGCTCCCTCCCCAGTCCCCACTGCCATTTATAACTCGTTCAAAAATCATCATGAAGTTAACATAAACAGTGCTTGCAAAGTAAATGTTCCATATCAAAATGGAGCCAGATGTGAATGTCAGTTTGCAGTGTATTGTGCTGATTGAATTCTTGAATGGAGCAAAAACAGGCTAATTAATTGTAGGAAATCTGTAAAAATTATTGTAAACTAAATTATGATTATTTTTGGTGCAATAAACCTCAACATGATTCAGAAAGGAGATTTAGGAAAGAAAAAATAAAATTCTACAAAATGACAGAATTTGGCCTCTGTCCCAATCAACTTAAAAAAACAAACAAACAAATAAATAAATAAAATTATCAAAATTATTAAATTATTTTAGTTTATGATTAAGCTTAGTCAGGGCACAATAATTCTTAGCTTTCTGTTGAAACAAAATGACTGTCTGCACTGGATGAGACACGACAGTAAACTGATGCCTCGTTCTATTTATGACGTATCAAAATGATTGTTAACACTCACTTTGTCACATCCAGTGCAGACAGACTTCAGCTGTTAACTCCACATCTGAGCCGCTGTCATCGGAAGCCTGTGTGTTGCCAGATGTTGAGGGGGTTCTTGCCATCATGGACCGCAACATAGTGTAGGGTGACCATACGTGCCATTTTCCCAGGATGCGTCCTTGTCAGGATTTGTTTTGGCTTTGTTTTTTCCTGTTTTCATGCTTGCTGAAGGTAATGATCGAAAAGTAGTTTGACCAATAACATGCAGGCATTGTACATAATGGACCAATCATGGTGTGTGTGAGAAAGTGGGATCTACGGTCAAAGCGATGCAATTACCTAGATATTTTAGGCAATATAGAAATCCTGGCCAGGACGCGTCCTGGGAAAATGGCAAGTATGGTCACCCTACTTTAGTGTGATCCACAAGTGCAGCCAATGCTCTCTGGCAGGTGTCACGTTCCAGGACGCAGAGCTGCCATTTTTCCCCCTCTTTGACAAACCCATCTGTCTCTTTCTATAATGAAGCAATGCATCTCGTGCCTCACAAATCCTATTTATTTGTGTGTCATTACCACACAGAATGAGCTCTGTAATTTGTCAGAGGACAGGGCGACATGCTCCCTTTGTTTATTTTCATTATAGCGCCTTGGGAAATCTGACTTATTTATAGTGAAATAAAGGTTGAGTTATTAGGGGGACATACGTTGTAACCTTGGGAACACATGTAGCTTGGCTTATTTTAGCGAGTGTTCTGAAAACATCATGGAATGGCTCAGAATGGATGCTTTAGGGCTTGTGGGGAAGTGTGTTTCAATAAGCATGATGTCAGAACAGTTCTCTGACCTCTCCTGATGAAAGGACGTTGTTCATGTACTCCAGGAAGGATTCATCCTTGATCTCGTTGTCAGTGAAAATAAAGCTGATGCCTTTGCCCTGTTGTCCAGCAGTCCTGTACAATCCCTTCAGGTCCTCCATCAGGTTGAGGGTGTTGTAGGAACTACAGAAAAACACAGCATGCAAATTAGCAGTCTTTATTCCTCTGGCAGGGTTTCCCAAACTGGGTTGGTAAAAGAAAAAAATAAAAGATTATAATTAATGAAATCATAAAATATGAATAAAATTAATTATTTTTAAAGAAAAACAATATACATTTACTTGTTTTCATGTCATGTGACCAATAAACAAACAACAAAGCACCATGAACATGCAAATGTGTTGTTAAAAAAATAAAATCAAATGTGTAGTTTTTCTTAAAAAGAATTTATTTCTTTTATAATTACTGTACATGCATGCTTATTGTATGAATCAAAACTTTTACTTTTATAAAGTAGTTTGACCAATAACATGCAGGCATTGTACATAATGGACCAATCATGGTGTGTGTGAGAAAGTGGGATCTACGGTCAAAGCGATGCAATTACCTAGATATTTTAGGCAATATAGAAATCCTGGCCAGGACGCGTCCTGGGAAAATGGCAAGTATGGTCACCCTACTTTAGTGTGATCCACAAGTGCAGCCAATGCTCTCTGGCAGGTGTCACGTTCCAGGACGCAGAGCTGCCATTTTTCCCCCTCTTTGACAAACCCATCTGTCTCTTTCTATAATGAAGCAATGCATCTCGTGCCTCACAAATCCTATTTATTTGTGTGTCATTACCACACAGAATGAGCTCTGTAATTTGTCAGAGGACAGGGCGACATGCTCCCTTTGTTTATTTTCATTATAGCGCCTTGGGAAATCTGACTTATTTATAGTGAAATAAAGGTTGAGTTATTAGGGGGACATACGTTGTAACCTTGGGAACACATGTAGCTTGGCTTATTTTAGCGAGTGTTCTGAAAACATCATGGAATGGCTCAGAATGGATGCTTTAGGGCTTGTGGGGAAGTGTGTTTCAATAAGCATGATGTCAGAACAGTTCTCTGACCTCTCCTGATGAAAGGACGTTGTTCATGTACTCCAGGAAGGATTCATCCTTGATCTCGTTGTCAGTGAAAATAAAGCTGATGCCTTTGCCCTGTTGTCCAGCAGTCCTGTACAATCCCTTCAGGTCCTCCATCAGGTTGAGGGTGTTGTAGGAACTACAGAAAAACACAGCATGCAAATTAGCAGTCTTTATTCCTCTGGCAGGGTTTCCCAAACTGGGTTGGTAAAAGAAAAAAATAAAAGATTATAATTAATGAAATCATAAAATATGAATAAAATTAATTATTTTTAAAGAAAAACAATATACATTTACTTGTTTTCATGTCATGTGACCAATAAACAAACAACAAAGCACCATGAACATGCAAATGTGTTGTTAAAAAAATAAAATCAAATGTGTAGTTTTTCTTAAAAAGAATTTATTTCTTTTATAATTACTGTACATGCATGCTTATTGTATGAATCAAAACTTTTACTTTTATAAACTGGAACTAAATAAAAATCATAATTATTTATCCTTTAATATTGCTATGAAACCTAGCTCATCCTAAGTTTTAGATTCAGTTGTGCACTTCTTGGCTTTATTCCTGGCCAATAGCTGTGTTCATTTTTCTGAACAAATGAAACATGAATAGTGAATCATTCCTTTGAGGTGATCGTATTCATTGGGTATTAATTTATTGAAATGAACAGATCACCTTAAATTAATTCTCTCTTATCCCTTTCAAGCTTTTGGGGTACATTAGAGTTGGGATCTTTCAAACGGTGATAAGTACATGCATGCTTATTGTATGAATCAAAACTTTTACTTTTATAAACTGGAACTAAATAAAAATCATAATTATTTATCCTTTAATATTGCTATGAAACCTAGCTCATCCTAAGTTTTAGATTCAGTTGTGCACTTCTTGGCTTTCTTCTTGGCCGATAGCTGTTTTCATTTTTCTGAACAAATGAAGCAAATTTAAATTCTGTTCTGTATGCATAAATACAATTATTATTACAATTATTATATTACACAGTATATGCATTACTGCAATTAATTTATATTACAGTGTTGCCATATAGCAACATGTTCTCAATTTACTGTCAAACTATGTTGATCTATAAACAAAGTTGATCTATTAGCAAAATATTTAACTTATACTATAGATGCAGTGTGATATTTAACTTATACTGTAGATGCAACACAATTTGAAATATATTAGGAATGTATAAAAACGTGTTCAATAGAGCAATCTGAGAAGCACTTGTGTCTTCTCTGTAAGGATGACCCCAGAAACTTTTTTGGGTATAGCAAGAAACAGAAAGTGTTTTGGGTATAGCAAGAAAGTGAACAAAACTGATAGCTTGCCTTTTTACAACACTGTACCAAACAGAGATGGAATTAGTTGTAAAAAAAAAAAAAAGACCACTTGGATGCAGAGAATTGTGAGCAGCTTGTGTTTTGAACACAGCAAGGTGAAATCAATCTGTTTTCTCTGGGGAATCTCACACACTCTGAGATCAACACCATATTCATTCATATCATTCTAAAATATAAGCAGCATGGAAAACATTCTCCAAATACAAGTTAAATTTCCGAAGGCTTTCCTGCTATCATCACAAATGCAATATAAAGAAAAGTGCTGTGGAATTACAGGTGGCCACAGGCAAAACATTCCACTCCCACCAGAAAAAAATATTCCTATATAAAAAGAATCACTTGATAGATGGCTTCCTGTTTTTTTTGTTTTTGTTTTTGTTTTTTTTACAGAATTGAATGATTAACAGATATTCCCACTTTAAATTGTTTCACTGAATTATCAGTTGCATGGGAAGACAGGGGTCTGAATTGAAAATGTCCAGTCTCATTGTTTGAGTCGGACTGCACAGTTGATTGGATATGAGTTCTTTCCTCTTTATAGTCAGCAACAGCAGAGCACAATTGGAAAGTGAAGACCAGAACACTGTTATGCACAGATACCATCTACTGGAGTACAACTAAACTGCATTACACCAGAGAAACCAAAGCCACCTTTTTATTTATATTACAGTAGAAACATCAATGATAGGGGGAATGGAGAAATTTTTTTTTTACAAATTGGTTCAAACGAGTGCCAATCACATGAAATGTGTCAATTAACCCATGGCTTTGCCCAATCAGTAGTATTGGTATGTATTGGTATTATATACAGTGCCTTGCGAAAGTATTCATACCCCTTCATCAAACCAGAGCTGAAATTATATATAAATAAAACACTTATTCAGCAAGTTAAGGAAGCAAAATTATTGGGTATCACCCTGGATAATAAATTGTCATGGTCAAAGCATATTGAGAACACAGTGAAGAGAATGGGAAGGGTAGTAGCTGTAGTAAGGAGATGTAGACAATATTATATACGTTTGATATAATGAAAATAATATTGGACATTCTCTTCTTCTCACAGCTGGACTATTGTCAGATTACCCAGCCCTAATTATAAATAGGTAATAATGTGTAAAATAATATTTGGAAAATATTTAGTTTCTATTACATTTTCTTCATTATTACTATTATTACTTATTATATATTATTACTTTTTTCTACTAATTGTAGTACCCTGCTGTTAGAAGTATTCGATATTCGTGTATTTATTTTAATAATTTTTTATCTTTTTTTTTTCATTTTAATCCATATTATATTTTATTTACCTTAATCAATTATTGTATCTTACTTTAACAATTTACAATTTATTGCAATTTATTTATTTATTTATTTTTTTACACTTTATATCTAAACTTTTCCACAGACCCAAGTTTGAAAACCCCATCAACAGGCAACATAGTGCAGACCACAAATATCACAGTATAAATTGTAAACATGCAAGTAACTTTTAAAGGCCTAATTTTACTGTCAACAAACACTTGAGTGGAAATATTTGCTTCAGATTTTTTCTTTCATTAAAATTCTGCACACATAAATAACAATCCTACAGAGGTTAGGTAGTTTACACATTTAAATTGACGTAAATTAGCTGAATTATGGGTAATTGTCACCATTCCCAGACTGTGCTACTGGATGCATTGTCTTTTTTCTTTTTTAGCTCATAAGGTCTTTGTGTCTCTTTCTCATTCTTGTACATTTTATGCATTCTCATTTTCCCTAGGAACTGGATGATGAAGGAAACAGCAGGTCTTTTCATTCATAAAATACTGGAGTTTTAGAAAATAGCTGTAATATATACCCTAATAAAAATGTGTGCAATTATAGTCAAAAGATTTTCTTTAACATTTCTTTATAGTCAAAAGCATTTCTTTAAAATTTTACCAAAATTAACATCTCTAAGGCCTTTTGGAGATTATGTCTGAATGCAGCCCTTGAAATGCTCTTGGTCTTTAAGTGCCTTTATTTTTTCCTCAATTACTGAGTTCAATGAACTTCAATGAACTGGAGACGATTAATCCCTAAGACATGAAATAAAAACAAAATGGCACTGAAAGTGACACCACGTCTAAAACACATTCTCTCTGATTAAGTACCTTTTTAAAATAAGTACATACCTTGTCACCATTAAAAAAGTTCCATATAGTTTGAATTTGTGTCATATACATGTAATTCTGACATACTATATTCATCATGTTGTTATAGTCCTGTGACCTACAATAGGATGATTGCTGTAATATTGTTATCAACATGGAAGATTTTACATTTTAAAACTCCATTGGATCAGTATAATCAATTACAATCTAATGTTCAGTCACATGAATATGCTACTAGACGAGCAACAGAGGGTAGATTTCTACTCCCTAATGCTAAGACTAATTTTCTTAAACATACAGTAACATTTAGGGCAATGAAATCATGGCATCTTTTACCATTGTCATTAATTAGGATAACACGGAAAATTGATTTTAAAAGGCAGGTAAAGGCACACCTTGGAATTCTGTACTTATAGGAGGTTGAGGTATAGGAATTAGTTGAATAAGTAATATGTTTTTATATAGTAGGTGTTATAGATATTAAAAGGGTAGAAGAAATGTTTATAGAGATGCTTTGGAATATGGAGAATGCATTTAACTTTTATTTTTTTAATGTATGTAATAATGTATGAATGTTAAGTGTTGTGTGGACCCCAGGAAGACTAGCAATGCCTTAGGGCATAGCTAATGGGGATCCAAATAAATACACAAACAAATAAACAAACAGACTGGATTGGTGCAGTTCCTTTGTCCTCAGGGCTTGCTTTTTGCTCTGATATGCATTATCAGCTGTTAGACCTTTTATTAAGACGTTTGTGCCTTTCCAAATCATACCCATTCAATTGAATTTGCCACAGGTTAACTTCCCTTGAAGTGTAGTAATATCTACAAGCAAAATGAATGCTCCTGAGCTAAATTTCAACTGTCGCAGGTATGAATACTTATGCAATGGAATCATTTTAGTTTTTTATTTTTAATACATTTGCAAAGATGTTAAAAACCAGTTTATTTGCTTGACAATTATGGTGTATGGAGTGTAGATTGTTGTGGAAAAAAACGAATTTAAAGCAGTTTAACATAAGGCAGCAACAAAACAAAATGTGAAAAGAATGAAGGAGTATGAATACATTCGCAAGGCACTGTATAGTAGAATTAGTATTATATATAGTAGTATTGGTATTATACATATTATATGGTATTATATATATTATATATATACATTGTTCTTATTGACTTTTGACATAAACATAGACAACAAAAGCACTGCTATTACAGTGACACGTATATTACTGTGCTATAACTATGTTATTACTATGTAATAATGAGTTGCATTATAAATCTTGTCTAGACATGTGATGATGTAGATCTGCTACTCAAATAACAAGAGACACTGTTCATCTGGAGGGGAAAAGTGAATTTGAATAAAGAGGCTATAAATGATTGAGTACGTGAAGGTGACTCACCGGGTGAGTGTAATCTGGAAAGTCTTGTAGCCAGCGATGAAAGATGCTAGTCTTGTCAGACTCTGTTTTCCAGATCCCCCTACACCGACCAGAAGGCCATTTCCCCGAGGGGTCCTGATAATCCGAGAAATCTGGGGAAAGAGTGTGCAAGAGAGAAAAAAGGTAGAGACAGATGCAACCTCATTACCATGCAAAACATTTATACACACACTTTACATAAAGAAACTTATTTGTTCTTATTTGTACTCTTCTCTAAAATAGGACATGTGTAGGTCCTGTAATCAGCATGAAAAAATAAATTGGAATCATCTAAATTTCTTGTGAGCACTACATTTCTTTTTCTCTTTCATGCTAGAATGATGCTAATATCTTATAGCAAAGGTTATTCTTTTAAAAAAAAAATTTGAGCCCTAAAAACATTCTTATGATATCAAGGGCAGGATTACTCAACTGGCCAGGGTTGAGCCCTGATGATAATATGCTGTCAATACAGAGATACAAGAAACATCAGTGTAGTAAGATACTGTACTCTATGTACCTTAACCAGATGAATCATGGCATCCCTGAAGAAGACCATATCCATGCCTGCTCCTCTGATACTCTCGTTATAATGACTCAAAAACATGTTCAGCCTCTCCATTAGACTATCAAAGGATTTGAAGGGCTCATATTCTTTTGGGATGTCGAAATCAGTTTCCTCTGGCTCTTCACCTGTATATAATACATCAGTCCTAGATATTTAATTTCAATTCAGAAGAGAAGTTGCAAATATTATGAAAGCAATGTTAGGAAATATCTTATTAAGGTTAATTACTAAGGTTATTAATAACCTGTATTAAGGACTGTAAAAAGATGGACTAATGAAGCAGAGCAGGATTTAAAAGCTTGTTTTGACCTCACTGATTGGAGTGTTTTTGAAGCTGCTGCCACCGATCTGGATGAGCTCACAGAGACTGTAACATCTTATATCAGTTTCTGTGAAGACATGTGCATTCCTACCAGGACTCATTTAACCTACAACAATGACAAACCATGGTTCACTGCAAAACTCAGACAGCTCCGTCAGGCCAAAGAAGATGCTTACAGGAAGGGGGAAAATGTCTTGTATAAACAGGCTAAATACACACTGGAAAAGGAGATCAGAGTGGCAAAGAGGAATTATTCTGAAAAAATAAGGATTCAATTCTCTTCCAGTGACTCAGCATCAGTGTGGAAAAGTCTGAAAGAAATCACCAACTACAAGACACCATCCCCCAGCACTGTGGAGAATCAACAACTGGCAGACGATCTGAATGAGTTCTACTGCAGGTTTGAAAAAACACCCCACACCCGCCCTGAACACCTCTCCACACAACCATTCACACCTCCAGCAACCCCCATCTCCCCCACACCTGCAATTCAGATCAGCGAAGATGAGGTGCGCCAGGTCTTCCGGAAGCAGAAAAGGAAAAAAGCACCAGGCC